AAGACAGCAGCAGTAAAAGACAGGAATTGACAGTGTAGGGTGCAGTAAATCGTGTATAAAGGAGCCTTATTCAAGAGTTTCAACATAAGCAACTAGGTGTATCTCTATATCAACGGTCAACAGAGATTTGAAGAACTTTAGAGACACAAACAACTTCTATAATCAATGCAAATCATCTGAACACCGAAACTTTAGATTATTTATATATTTTAAATATGTTTAATTGAAAAGACAGCAACACATAAACTGTATGAATCATAGCCCTCTCGCGCAATTAGATTTGTTATCCTTGCAGACAACAAACAATATGTTGGGTTTTTATTCTAATGGGAATTCAATCCCCTGTCAGCTGCCCCACGCATAATACAACTCCTCTCTTTCATCAGTAAAGATATCAACAGCAGGAAACTAGCCCTTCTTTCATCTCCGGGGCACCCACCCACCTTTCCAAAGAGTTTTAAAGCAGGTGTAGAAGTCTCTCTGAATCTCTGCTGAAAGATCCTTTAATTATTATGGCAAAGGACACACAAATCCTTTGAGTGCGCAGCAGTAGCCTTTCTGGTGTTTACTCAACTAGCTGCTTGGTTTGACTGTACATTATAAAAACTTCTAAGTTGACTTTTAATTTATGGGCATGAAACTCTTATAGAGAGGAGCTGCTTTTTCAGATGTCTTGTTATATTATTAAGAAAGAAAGAGAAAAACGCAAGCTGCTGCTTTTCTGGCACCAACATTACACAGCGCTCAACCTGCCAGCACATTGCATCAGATTCTCCCTGCAAGGCCAATTCACAGCCGCTCAGTATCTGACCTACTGACTCTTATCTCCCACTAACTTATTTTGCACTCAGAAGGCAACAAGCAGGACTGTTTATTGCATTTTCCTTCCCAAAGAGTGGATCACTGCACTAGAACTAGCAGGGTTTGACCTTGCAGTTAGGCTAGGAGTATCACAACCATTTGAAAACTTTTAAAAAACAACAATAAAAAAATCAATTATCTCCTAACTCTACTGTATGCTACTCAGCAAGTAAACTCTAGGTATCTGTTACCCTGTGATCAACTCTGTCAAAGTTTTGTCACTGTGATGACTACTGTTACTTCTGTAGGCATGCTTTGAAACCCTGCAGAAAAGGAGGCTTAATTTACCCATCATCAAGTGCTTATCAAGGAAGTCCCCTGTGTTTTGCAGAAAGGAGACCACACAAACGGACCTTTGCTTCCAGGTTTCCTTGCCCACGCACCTGGGCAAGGCTCTCCTGCACCCGCCGGCTGTGTTCCCAGGACAGAGATCCACTCGCAGATAGGACATTATTCTTCCCATTAAGGCCACGACCCACTGGGGGATGACAGCAATGTTTTGTGTGCTGAGGGGCAGACCCCACACACCTCGCCATGGGAAATTAAACATCTCTCCAACACTCATGGCAACCCAGAAAACAAAAGGTCCAACTGCTGATTTCAGTGAGAAAAGATATACGTGACCTTTTACACTACACAAGTAAGGGCTCACTCCAGACCTAGCAAGTCTGGAGATAAACGCCTGGTGATCTCAAAGGCGCAGGGACCAGGCCTGGCAATGCAAAGCTCACGGTTGTGTTCTGACACCGCTCCACAATGCGCCTCCAAACAAAACTATATTTAGATTCAATGGGAATTCTGTAGATCATACAGGAACTCTTTGAATGAAAATGAAGGTCAATAGGGTTTGGCTTCCTCTTCAGACCCCCCTCATTCTTGTGGCCCTCCAGATAAGCATTGTTTGGAAAAACAATACGTTACTTCCAGCCACTATCAAAACCCTCACACACGTTTTGTGAGCCGTGACACAGAAGCTCTGCAACTTTCTCTTGCATTTTGCTCTGTCAGCTGATCTGTGGGATCTCGGAAGGTGCCCAGTCAAGACAGTGCATTTTTTTTCTACCTATACTACCTTTTAAGCGTTTTGCTTCACGTGTTCCTACTAAAACGAGAGAGAGAGAGAGAGAGACGGAAGCAGTAATAAAGACCTCTGACTGAAGAGAAGCTCATAAAGAAAAACTGCACAGAAAATACGAATAAAGCTGCACATGTGCTAAGTGCAACCTCTGGGGCGCTCACACAGTTTATTCATTCACTAGCAGTTATGTCCAACTGCCCAGCACAAGGCACAAGTGCAAGGCAAATCATGCAGCCTTATCCAAGTGAGACAGAGGCTGCAAGCAGTTCACAGGGCATTGCTGGACGCTCAGGCATCCCGAAAGAAAAAAAAAACAGCAAAAGCATCCTTCCCAAACCATTCCACGGCCAGAAAGCAGGCATGGCCTGAACGTGGGATGTGAAAGGGATGAAAGTGCCACAGAGCCCAGCTGCAGCCTCCCAAACTGTAGCACTGGGGCTGCAAAGGCCACTGCGAGCAACCTCTGCAGCGCGGGATAAGGAGCCGCCGGGCGCTCTGGCTCCTGCGCGCGTTGTGCTGCGCTGCGCGGTCCCGTGCGCGCGTCCTGGACGGCGCTCACACCGCGCAACCCCTGCAGCTCCTGCCCAGGCGCTGCCTTCCTCCTCTGAAGCCCTCCGGCAGCGGCGGGGACGGCAGCGGGAGG